CCGACGCGGGTGACCCGGAGGAAAAGTTCCACACGTTGTCACGTACAACTCATCATCCCCTCCGATTACCACGCCGTCCCGAAAATACGCAAAGAGCGTAAGAGGCGGGCGGTAAATAGGACAAAATGAGCAACGCTGATTGGAAAGGCTCAACGCGTGGGGTTGACCAATCAGGGTTGTTCAAGAATTTTACTAGGGTAAACGGCGAAACGAAAAATAAAACTCGGTCACTGCATCGCGACTCGTCCGAAGACATAGTCTGCGAAGATAAAGAAGTTTCTACCACCGCACGCGAGCGTACTATTGATTTCGAACAAATCCTACCCGAAATTGGTGACCCCGACGTGGGGGTAGGAACGGACGAAGTCTCCGTATATATAGGGATCGAGACGGATCGGCAACTAGCGGGAAGAGGAGCCCTCTGCTGGCGGGTCTGGAGGTAGCCGCCACACTATATAGTTCTATTTTAAACACGAGACTAATAACAATAAAAACAGCCAATTCTAACATTAATTAAACATTTCTAGATTTAAAATTATAAAAATTTTTCTCTTTTTTCTTTTTAATTAGAAATTGGTTTTTTTATAAAATTTAAGCAAAAAAATATATAAAGTTTTTAAAATACCTTCCTTATGATTATGAAAAGAATTTATACCTTGATCTTATCTTTATTTTATTTGAAATCTCAATGTGCTAAGATAAAATCAGAAGGAAAAATTAAATTTCCTAAAACCTATTCAAATCAAAAATATGTACTTATTGTTGAAGATGAAAATGGTAAAAGCGGGTCATATTTTGTAGATGATGTTTCTAATTTAACGATTGATCATTCTGATGGCTATAATAAAGTATATTTAACCCCTGATTCAGGAAATGGGTTTAAAAATTATGATCCTAATAACGATGAAACTTCAGATGCTAAAAATTGATTTAATATTCTTAATTTGTAATGTTCATCTATTTTTTTTTGTTTTAACTTGAGTATTAATCTATTTAATAGATTTTAAATTACTTTATATAAAATTTCAATTTTTCGTTTATATAAAATATAATTTTAGATAAGTTTAAACATTTTTTTTCTGTTACCTACTTTTAAATTATAATTGTGAGAATGCAAATACGATTTAACCGACAATAAACCATTGACGACATTTATACTACGTATTTACAAATAAAAATCACATTATCTCATAAACAAAACTATAAGGAAAATAAAAAACATGACATTATTTTTATACACCAAGTTTCATTCATGATTGGTTAAGGGATCATAAAATAATATTATATTATATTAAATCAGTCCACAAATTTGCTCTGATTAAGCTGAAAACATATTTTTGTATGTTTTTTAAATTAATTTATATGGATAAGTGTCTGGCGTAACCCTCAGGGAGGCTGCCATGTTTGTAGTAGATCTCCAATACGGATCTACACTCTTGACTCGCTTCTCCTGGAGTGTCAATAAATAAATAAACAATTGTTTAATTATTTTTTATAATTAAAGTCTTTATTTATATTCATGCTGCCTGACCTCATCTGTTATATCTGTATTTGTATATCTCTTGCCCAAGTTTTAGCTTATATATTTATTTTTAACCCTGGCAATCAATCGGAATAATATCATAAGTAAATATAAATATAAAATGAACAAATAAAAATATGATTGGTTACGACTTTCATCATCAAGAATAAATTGTATTTAAGATCAAAATGTGGTTGACACCACAGTGTCAATCATCATTCAAATGGCAACTGTAAATAGTTACATTGTTATAACCTTTTCGTCACCTAAAGTAATGTCAATATAATATTTTAAGGGTGGATTTCCTATGAATATATAAAACAAGACTTTTAAGGTTCAAGTTATATATATATATATAGTATTTTAGGTTCTACACATATCCGAGGTCAATAATCAATATTCCTGTAATGTACATATTAGTTGGATAGTACGTACTTATATAACTATATAAATTTTAAATAATAATAAAACAAAATCTAAATGATTCATATTAAACTAATTCTTATTTTAAACTGATTTTGAAAAAAATTTAAATAATGATTTAAAATAGATTATTTACGAAATTAACGCTAAAATAATTTTATGAAATAAATAAAAGCGAGATAGTTTAATACGTTAAGGACAGCGTCTACCATCGGTGGCCACAGCTAGTTAAAAATTCTATATATAAAAAATTAGCCGTCTTCAACGTGTTAATAAAAAAAATAAATAAAAAGTACAGTAAATAAATGTCTAAAATATACACATCAATCAAAATCACATATAATATATAAAGTATAAAAAAAAACTGTTTTCACTGTGTTTGTAGGTTTAAATTTTAAAATCTTAAAAAAAGTTTGCGCTTCTTTAAATTATGAAAAAAAACGTTTTATAAAATTTCAACAAAAAATATACATAAATCTATCGAAAAATCCCTTCAAAAATATGAATAGAAAATTTTGCTTGATCGTATTTTTATTTTATATGAAATTTATCTTTACTAAAACAATACCCAACGAATTAAATAAGTCAAATGAAAGCAGTTGGATTCAAAATGATCAACATCTTTATGATACGAGTGAAGGAGGTAATGAACCACGTGAATATTTTTAAGACTATATTAATGCCTTGATAATAAAACATTTTTTTAGTGACTAGACAGATGAAATAAGTTCTGATTCAGTAGATAAGTTAAATAGTTCTAATACCGAGAATGATCAAAATACAAACACGTCAGAAACAGAATATGAATATTTAATCTTTTTTGAAGAGGAAATTTCAGATGTGGAAATTATAATGACTTTTCTAGTAATAAAAATTAATAAAATACTTTGATCTATATATATATAATAAAATAAAAAATAGAAAATATATTTTAGTATAGAATATTGCTAACGTTTTGTACCATATTTTTTCATATACAAATATTATTTTTTTAAAAAACCACTATTTATTTATTGAAGAAATACAGAAAAGAGTAAATTTTAAATAATATATAAAAAATTTATCTTTTTTCTGTTTAGATGTACCCATTTATAATTATTCTAAAGATGATAAATTTTTGGATCATATATTTTTATCTGCGGTTAGATTTAATAAAATAAGATTGGAAAACATATTTCTATAAATTTATATGTATTTTTGTTTTTTAAGAGTTGTTATAAAGATACCAATCATTGCTTAACTATTTTCCTTAAAGAAACATCTTATTTTAGTATATAAATTTTACTTGATCTATAAAAATGAATATTTTAAATTTATGAACATTATTTAAATATTTTTGGTTATAAAGTAACACTTTAATCATATATAAACATTTTTTCTAGTATCTTTTCTAGTGTTGTCATTATTATATATTTGGATTTTAAATATTTTTTTCTGCATTCCACATAAACAGCCTGAATTTTAAATCGCTGACTTTATAACCCCATGGATGATGCCAATCTGCTTGTTAAAGAGCTTAGAATAGATTGGGAAACATTACTAACTGAAAATTTCAATCCATTAAAGCAGTCTTTAGAGAATAAGAAAAGTAATTACAAGCAATCTAATTACAGAAATACTTATCACAAAGTACAAAAAGTTATAGATAAAATAATCGAGATAAGTTATAAAGGATTTAGTGATTCTGTGATATCATACATGGAGAGTTATAACTATACGGTGAAGTGCTTAGAAAATATATATATTGATAATATAAATACCACATTAGATATACTAACCAATATAAGTGTTAATGATAAAGAATTAAGCGAGAATTATGAATCTACTGCATATTTTCGACGTAAAAATGAAATATGTGGAATTCTAGCAAATATTGTGGGATTGTATGAAAAATATCTTGAACATGTAACCAATAAAATGTATATTGAAGCGTGTAGTTTTGCACGCGACATTTTTGATTCTATAAAAAGTAACGAGCTTGACATTATCACAGGTGTTAAATATTTCTTAAACGACGAGCTTTCTGAATCTGTAAGGTAAGTTACAGAAGAGATTTTTAGACTTCTTGGTTTATATATTTGTCATGATGTGATCGAAAATGAAAAATATTTTAGATATGTAGAAATTCTCAATAAGTTAGGAGACTTTGATAAATATTTGTGTGATGTTATTAATTAATAACATGGTTATTTTGAAGATGTGGATTCTAAATTAGATATGTTTGAGGACTTTTAACATCAGAATAATGAAAAAAATGAAGAGGAGTGATTTAAACTCTACAGGATCAAAAAATATCTCTTTTTATACTGATGAGGTTAACATCTATGAAAGAATATCTTTCGATGACTATAGGATAAATATACTGACAGAAGAGATAGTTTCAAAGATAAGAAGTATAAGATATAATATAATATAATATAAATATGTCTTATAATAAGTAAACATATCTAAAGAATTTATAAATTTGAAAAGTGAAGTATTGAAAAAAGAATTTATTTTTATATTTCAAAGTGATGGATGGGATAAAAATGAGTATTCTACGAGAAAATGATCATTTTTCAATGAACAGAAGTTGAAAATGCTTGTTCCTTAATCAATGTGCTTGGTAGTGAACTGCTTGATGTTAGTTATGTTTACATTATTCAAAAATTTGAAGAAAAATATAATTCTATGTTTTCTCATAAAATTTTTAATGAATGTGAAANATATTATTTTTTTAAAAAACCACTATTTATTTATTGAAGAAATACAGAAAAGAGTAAATTTTAAATAATATATAAAAAATTTATCTTTTTTCTGTTTAGATGTACCCATTTATAATTATTCTAAAGATGATAAATTTTTGGATCATATATTTTTATCTGCGGTTAGATTTAATAAAATAAGATTGGAAAACATATTTCTATAAATTTATATGTATTTTTGTTTTTTAAGAGTTGTTATAAAGATACCAATCATTGCTTAACTATTTTCCTTAAAGAAACATCTTATTTTAGTATATAAATTTTACTTGATCTATAAAAATGAATATTTTAAATTTATGAACATTATTTAAATATTTTTGGTTATAAAGTAACACTTTAATCATATATAAACATTTTTTCTAGTATCTTTTCTAGTGTTGTCATTATTATATATTTGGATTTTAAATATTTTTTTCTGCATTCCACATAAACAGCCTGAATTTTAAATCGCTGACTTTATAACCCCATGGATGATGCCAATCTGCTTGTTAAAGAGCTTAGAATAGATTGGGAAACATTACTAACTAAAGATTTCAATCCATTCAAGCAGTCTTTAGAGAATAAGAAAAGTAATTACAAGCAATCTAATTATAGAAATACTTATCACAAAGTACAAAAAGTTATGGATAAAATAATCGAGATAGGTTATAAAGGATTTTGTGATTCTGTGATATCTTATATGGACAGTTATAACTGTACGGTGAAGTGCTTAAAAAATATTGATAATATAAATACCACATTGCATATACTAACTAATAATAAAGAATTAAGCGAGTATTATGAATCTACTGCATAATTACGACGTAAAAATGAAATATGTGGAATTCTGACAAATATTGTGGGATTGTATGAAAAATATCTGGAACATGTAACTAATAAAATATATATTGAAGCGTGTAGTTTTGCACGCGATATTTTTTATTCTATAAAAAGTAACGAGCTAGACATTATTACAGGTGTTAAATATTTCTCAGACGACGAGCTTTCTGAATCTGTAAGGAAAGTTACAGAAGAGATCTTTAGACTTCTTGGATTATATATTTGTCATGATGTGATCGAAAATAAAAAATATTTTAGATGTATAGAAATTCTCAATAAGTTAGGAGACTTTGATAAATATTTGTGTGATGTTATTAATTAATAACATGGTTATTTTGAAGATGTGGATTCTAAATTAGATATGTTTGAGGANTATTGAAGTGGGAAATAAAAGAACAGATGATTATAATGAATATATTTGTAGTGTTTTTGATAAAAATGGTTATTTTGAAGATGTGGATTCTAAATTAGATATGTTTGAGGACTTTTAACATCAGAATAATGAAAAAAATGAAGAGGAGTGATTTAAACTCTACAGGATCAAAAAATATCTCTTTTTATACTGATGAGGTTAACATCTATGAAANTTGTACTAGTGATTTAAACTCTATAGGGTCAAAAAATATCTCTTTTTATACTGATGAGGTTAACATATATAAAAGAATATCTTTCGATAACTATAGAATAAATATACTGACAGAAGATATAGTTTCAAAGATAAGAAGTATAAGATATAATATATTTCAGTTAA